ACCCTCAACGAAGCACCTCCAGAACATCAAAAGGGAGCACCGAAGGGAGGTGTGGTCATGGGTGCTATGGAGTCCCATCCTACACCGCCCCCTGACACCAAAAAACCTTCAAAACCCACCTTTTTGGGGGTTTTTCCTAAGGATGGGGGGAGGAGGAACATCTGGAGAACATCTCAACCCTCAACGGGGCACCTCCAGAACATTGGAGTGGAGCACTGAAGGGAGGTGTGGTTACCGGTGCTATGAAGTGTGACCCTGCACCCCCCCCCGACTCCAAAAAACCTTCAAAAACCACCAGTTTGGGGGTTTTCCGAAGGATAGGGGGAGGAGGAACATCTGGAGAAGATCTCAGCCCTCAACGGGGCACCTCCAGAACATGGGAAGGGAGTTTTGAGGAGCACTGAAGGGAGGTGTGATCACTCGTGCTGTGGTGACCCATCAATGACCCTCCCCCGACACCAAAAAACCTTCAAAAACCACCTTTTTGGGGGTTTCTGTAACGATGGGGGGAGGAGGAACATCTGGAGAACATCTCAACCCTCAACGAGGCACCTCTGCATGGTTGGAATGGAGCACTGAAGGGAGCTGTCGTCACTGGTGCTGTGGTGGCCGATCCTGCGACCCCCCCCGACACCAAAACACCTTCAAAAACCACCATTTTGGGGGTTTTCATAAAGATGGGGGGAGGAGGAACATCTGGAGAACATCTCGGCCCTCAAAGGGGCACCTCCAGAACATGGGAAGGGAGATTTGAGGAACACTGAAGGGAGGTGTTGTCGCTCGTGCTGTGGTGCCCGATCCTGCGACCCCCCCCCGACACCAAAAAACCTTCAAAAACCACATTTTTGGGGGTTTTTCCTAAGGATAGGGGGAGGAGGAACATCTGGAGAACATCTCAGCCCTCAACGGGGCACCTCCAGAACATGGGAAGGGAGTGTGGAAGGGAGCTGTCGTCGCTGGTGCTGTGGTGCCCGATCCTGCGACCCCCCCCGACACCAAAACACCTTCAAAAACCACCATTTTGGGGGTTTTCCCTAAGGATGGGGGGAGGAGGAACATCTGGAGAACATCTCAGCCCCCAACGGGGCACCTCCAGAACATGGGAATGGAGCACTGAAGGGAGGTGTCATCACTGGTGATATCGAGTCCCATCCTGCGCCCCCCCCGACACCAAAAAACCTTCAAAAACCATCATTTTGGGGGTTTTCATAAAGATGGGGGGAGGAGGAACATCTGGAGAACATCTCAGCCCTCAACGGGGCACCTCCAGAACATGGGAAGGGAGTGTGGAAGGGAGCTGTCGTCGCTGGTGCTGTGGTGGCCGATCCTGCGACCCCCCCCGACACCAAAACACCTTCAAAAACCACCATTTTGGGGGTTTTCATAAAGATGGGGGGAGGAGGAACATCTGGAGAACATCTCGGCCCTCAACGGGGCACCTCCAGAACATGGGAAGGGAGTTTTGAGGAGCATCACAAAGTGGTTGTCGTCACTGGTGCTGTGGAGTCCCATCATGAACCTCCCCTGACACCAAAAAACCTTCAAAAACCACCTTTTTGGGGGTTTTTCCTAAGGATGGGGGGAGGAGGAACATCTGGAGAACATCCCAACCCTCAACGGGGCACCTCTGGATGGAGCTTTGAGGAGCACTGAAGGGATGTGTGTTCACTGGTGCTATGGTGGCCCATCAATGAACTCCCCCTGATGCCAAAAAACCTTCAAAAACCACCATTTTGGGGGTTTCTCTAAAGATGGGGGGAGGAGGAACATCTGGAGAACATCTCAACCCTCAACGGGGCACCTCTAGAACATGGGAAGGGAGATTTGAGGAGCACTGAAGGGAGGTGTGATCACTGGTGCTGTGGTGACCCATCAATGAACCTCCCCCAACACCAAAAAACCTTCAAAAACCACCTTTTTGGGGGTTTTTCCTAAGGATGGGGGGAGGAGGAACATCTGGAGAACATCTCAACCCTCAACGGGGCACCTCCAGAACATTGGAGTGGAGCACTGAAGGGAGGTGTGGTTACCGGTGCTATGAAGTGTGACCCTGCACCCCCCCCCGACTCCAAAAAACCTTCAAAAACCACCAGTTTGGGGGTTTTCCGAAGGATAGGGGGAGGAGGAACATCTGGAGAACATCTCAGCCCTCAACGGGGCACCTCTGGATGGTGGGAATGGAGCTCTGAGGAGCACTGAAGGGAGGGGTTTGGGGAGATCTCCAGAGACGGAGACTCCATGAAATCTCCCCCCTCCCAGTTGGTGACCTTTGACCCTCCTCCCATCACTGGGAGCCACTGGGAAGAGCCTCACCCCGTCCTCGGGCCATGGCCAACGTCATCAGGGTCAACATTAAACTTGGTGTCCCCTCATCCAACCCAACCATCCTACGCTCATCCATCAAGACGCTGACCAAGACCTTGACCCTTGGGGACCACCAGTAGCCACTGGCCTCCAACTGGACCCTGATGTTGACCACCCAACGGGTTCTCCATCCGCTTTGGTGACCCCTCATCCAACCCAACCATCCTACGCTCATCCATCAAGACGTTGACCAAGACCTTGACGTCTTGGTGTCCCCTCACCCATCCCAGACCGCACCCGAGGACCTTTATGGGTGCCACCTGAGGTTGTCCCCTCCGTGTCACCCACCGGTAGGTCATGGCCTCGATGAGGAAGGGCTGGTTCCACCTTGGTGTCCCCTCATCCAACCCAACCATCCTACATCCATCCATGAAGATGTTGACCAAGACCTTGACCCTTGGGGACCACCAGTAGCCACAGCATCTGCCTTGGCGTCCCCTCATCCAACCCGACCATCCTACGCTCATCCATCAAGACGATGACCAAGACCTTGACCCTTGGAGACCACCAGTAGCCACAGGCTTCCTGCTGGACCCTGATGTTGACCACCCAAGAGGTTCTCCATCCACCTTGGTGTCCCCTCATCCAACCCAACCATCCTACACTTGTCCATCAAGACGTTGACCAAGATCTTGACCCTTGGAGACCACCAGTAGCCACAGCATCTGCCTTGGCGTCCCCTCATCCAACCCGACCATCCTACGCTCATCCATCAAGACGATGACCAAGACCTTGACCCTTGGGGACCACCAGTAGCCACAGCATCCGCCTTGGTGTCCCCTCACCCATCCCAGACCCCACCCAAGGACCTTTTGGGTGCCACCTGAGGTTGTCCCCCCCGTGCCACCCACCGGTAGGTCATGGCCTCGATGAGGAAGGGCTGGTTCCATCCAACCCAACCATCCTACGCTCATCCATCAAGACGTTGACCAAGACCTTGACGCCTTGGTGTCCCCTCACCCATCCCAGACCCCACCCCGAGGACCTTTTTGGGTGCCACCTGAGGTTGTCCGCTCCCGTGTCACCCACCGGTAGGTCATGGCCTCGATGAGGAAGGGCTGGTTCCACCTTGGTGTCCCCTCATCCAACCCAACCATCCTACGCTCATCCAACAAGACGTTGACCAAGACCTTGACCCTTGGGGACCACCAGTAGCCACAGGCCTCCAAATGGATCCTGATGTTGACCACCCAACAGGTTCTCCATCTGCTTTGGTGTCCCCTCATCCAACCCAACCATCCTACACCTGTCCACGAAGACATTGACCAAGACCTTGACCCTTGGGGACCACCAGTAGCCACAGCATCCACCTTGGTGTCCCCTCACCCATCCCAGACCCCACCCTAGGACCTTTTTGGGTGCCACCTGAGGTTGTCCCCTCCAGTAGGTCATGGCCTCGATGAGGAAGGGCTGGTTCCATCCAACCCAACCATCCTACGCCCATCCATCAAGACGTTGACCAAGACCTTGACCCTTGGGGACCACCAGTAGCCACAGCATCCGCCTTGGTGTCCCCTCACCCATCCCAGACCCCACCCGAGGACCTTTTTGGGTGCCACCTGAGGTTGTCCCCTCCGTGCCACCCACCGGTAGGTCATGGCCTCGATGAGGAAGGGCTGGTTCTCGGCCACCGCTCTCCGTCGCGCTTCTTTGGTGGCGTTGTAGACGGCGAAGACGTCGTTGCCGTCCACCCGGATGGACATCAACCCGTAGCCGGGTCCTCGCGCCGCTGCGGGGGACGGGTGACCGACGGGGTGAGGAGACCCCGTTTGGAAGAATTTCACCCCAAAAAAAGAGGTAGGGGGAGGGAGGGGAGGTTTCCTACCGATGCCGTCGCCGCGGTACTGCTCGGAGGTGGGGGTGGAGATGGCGTAGCCGTTGTTGCGGCAGAAGAAGACGATGGGACATTCCAAGGTGGCGGCGAAGTTGAAGCCGGCGTGAGCGTCCCCTTCGCTGGCCGCCCCCTCCCCGAAGTAGCAGATGACGGCCCGGTTGGCGTCCGCTCGCTTGATGGCGTAGGCCGCCCCCACCGCTGTGGGGAGAAGGTCCCGGGGAGGGGGAGGGGGGAGGTGACACACACGTGGTGGGG